CATCCATTCACACAGGAACGCCAGCGTGCGACAGAAAATGCCGCTTCAGGGCCGAGAGCTGCACTAAGGCTGGAAAGCCACATCCCCAAAACAAACGCAGGAGTAAACCTGCAAGGTTAGTAGTAAACGTACCGATGTCCTGTTAGCAGCTCCGGGTAAGATCGGCAGTGAACTTTTCAGAGTCTCCACCAGGTGACTCACAGATGGCCGGAGGGCACAGAACTAACTCCCCGTGGTAGATTTATGACCCAGTTGGCTTTGTTTAAAACTTCAATATATTGAAGAAAGGGGTTAAGAAAAATCTGAGCTTTTGGTAAGAACCCAAAGCTGAAGAACTTTGTAACTCTTTGCAGATGAAAGAAAGGAGCTGAATGTGCGCCAGCACCTCAGAAACCAGGTGGCAAAACCCACCAACCTCACAAACTTGTGCTCTGGAAGGCCAACGCCAGTGGGGGTTTTTGATTTTGTTTGGCAGTGCTGAAGATAACTGATACTGATAATCCTTCCAAACGTACTCACAATTACTCTTCTTTGTAAGGCAACAATTTTATGAATACTTGAGAAAAAAAGTTTTCTGATACAACTGTAGGGATCAAGAATATATACAACTTAGAGAAGATGAAGTTACAAAACTCAGTTAAATTCTTTTTTCTATAATAAGGCCCTGTAATGATCTCATTTAGCCACACATGATTTAATGAAAAACAAATGTCTGTTAAGGGTGGCTCTCTTCTCATGGCATGTTCACTGCAAATTCTAGGCCAGGTCTCAGGATGATGTGACTAACAGACTGTTCTGCTTCCATTTCCCTCCAGAGGTGGCTCAAAGAGAAGAAACTGAAAACTATTCCTTCCTGTGAATCACCACACAAATTGTGTGCAGGACTTCAGGCAGTCGCAGATGATAACACTCAAGAGAACAGAGGGTGTTTGGTGGTGGATGTCCTCTTGGGTTCTTTTAAGGATTATTTACTGGTGGTAACGTGAACACAAACGATTCTGCTTAGAACAGAAAGCAGAGGGAGCTGGGCAAGCAGACCAGACTCATTCCTCAAGCCTATCTGCACTCTAGCTGAAGGATTTTGATACACAGCTTTTAAAATAAAGCCATTTTTCACAGTAAAATTGTATTTCTTTCCCTTTAATAGGTAACAGGCTCAATTCAATTAAGCATTTAAAAAAAAGCAGTCCTTTGTGTTCTTCATCATTTTAAGCTGTCTGGTTGCAGGCAGGGCAATGGTTCACCTTGCTTGGAAACGTTCATTTAGGCAAAGTAAATGATCACCAACTGCACCCTCTAAAACACATTCACCCATGGAGGTCTTCTCCAAGTTAAATGTTAAACCACCACAGCAGATGACAGTTATAGTGGCCTTTATCTTAACTTGATGTGTTTTCACTGAAGTAGTTTGCTTCCAGATTTTTCTCCCATTTTGGGACCAGAGAAGCGACCTCCAGCTTCTAGCAAGGAGAAAAGAATTCCATATAGAACATGCTGAAGGATGGAATGAGAAGACAAAAACTCTGGACTGTACAGTTCAAGGGATACAAGAGTAACAGTGGGCATGGGGTCTCTGCCAGCTCTCAAGGCAGGTATTTCCATTCTTAGCACCTCACAGCTGTAGCAGGCTGGTTCCCCTGGTATTAAAGCCCTGCCCTGTTGCTTTTTGCTTCTCATCATACCCATGTTGAGCCAAATCTCTGGGCCCTGGGATACCTGGAGTGTCTGCCCTCCTTCTGGGGCTCAGCTGGAGGAGTTCCAAACTGCAGTTACATACAACAGCTGGACACTGGCAGAGAGGATGATGTTCCTGACCCTGGTCAAGGAAGGAACCTGCCCACAGTTCAGCTCCACAGGTCTTCACCCAAACTCGCAGCTCTTGAGCTGTACATCACAGGGAAGGGTTTGATTTGTACCAGAAACAGGAAACGTAGTTCAGGCCCAGCTGTGAGCCTGACACAGCTTTTAACACCAGCAAGTAGAGAAGGAACACTAAGTACAACACAATTGCTATGCCAACAGTAACCAACCCATCTTACTGCTACCCAATCCAGCAGCAAAACTTCAACAGGAGTCAGACTTGCCCCTAAAAGAGCAAGAAATTATTCACTGTCTTTGATGTTAGTGAGACCAGGAGCTTACAGCAGCCTAGGATCTGTTCTCTTCTTTAGGATTCACAGGGAGCAGTTTAATATGCTTCCTTCTTTGTTCTAAGAGCTCTTTTGGATTTCAGCAATGTTACATTTGGATGTATGCAACGAAATCGCCCTACTAAGGTCAAATGCCCAGTAGTATTTCCTGTGCAGTTTTCTCTCCCAACTGAACCTAATCTGGCTCAGATGAAAACGGGGGGAAAACAGAGGTCCATGAAGAGCAGCCTACACGTTGAGAGCTGTGCCAGCTTCTGTCAGAACCACTGTATCTGCTCTTACTGAGAGTCAGACATCTCCCAGTGGAAACAAAAAAATAACCACGTGGTGTTCCTCCTAGCCTTGTATTATCTCAGGTTTGACTCAGAAAAACCTGGTATTGCATTTCAACAGCAGAATGGGTTCAGATGGAGGGGGGGAAAATGCATCAAGAATCACCTCAGAAGCCCTAACAGAAAGACATCAAAAACATGATGCAGAGAAGCACAACTAGCTTAGGGAATCAAATAGGAACCAGGAACTGTGCAGGAAGACCTGCTGATGGGGAAAAAAAAAAGTTAGAGAGACTAACTTTACATTTATTGGCAGACTTCTAAGTGTATGAAAAACACCACAAAAGAACTGAGAATTACAAAGGAAAAGGGGGAGTAAGAGAAGAGATGAGATAGAAGAAGGCAGGAAGAAACTGAGGTAGTATGTGGTACAGGAGGAACAGAGAACACTCACAAGTGACATCAAAATCTTACAAAATGCTCATTTAGTATTGAAGATTTTTTCAATATATAAATTAGTTTATTTTCATTTAGATATAAAAGTTATAAATACAATTAATATAAAACAGTATCTGATATCAGCATTGGTTCTGATAACAGCATTGAATCAGTTCCTCTGTCTGCACAATTTGACAGACCCAGAGGCCCTGAACCTGCCAGGATCATCGTCAGGGGCACTGTGGAAGTTCCAAGGTATATCTAAATGATTATTTCTCTAATTCTAGCTGCTAGAGGTTCTAATTAGGGGGCTGTTTCTTAGCTCGCTCTCACGCAGCATCTGTGACAAGGATTCTGAAAGCAGAATCAACACCGATGACAAAAACATCACCCACACTTCTTCCACAGTACTTACAGAGACTGGTCGGTCTGGGGACAGTCTCCTAAGATGATCTCCTGTAAGCCACACAATGCTCTGAAGCCTCGTGGCTGCTCTCTAACACAGCTGCACAAGCCTGTCCTGCAGTTCCCCCATCCCCACATGCCTCTCACCACTCCACCAGGAACTCGTAGGCCACGAGGCAGGGACGGGAGCGAGTTCACGTTTCAGGTCTGCTGTCTCTCATTCACAGGCCAATTTACTATCAAAGCTGGAGAGTCCAATAGCAAAGGCCTGAAGAGCACAGAGAGGATAATTATAGTCCAGAGTGAACACATCTTCTGCTACCCGACCGAACTGCATCACAATGTAGTCAGCTGGGGAGAAAAGAAACAGAGACCAACAATTTCACAGTGAAGAAAAAAAAAACAACAAAAAAACCACCACAAAAAGCCCAACCAAGCCCAACCAAAACCCCACAGTCTGGCAGTCCCAAATAGATGTGTTTGGTGTATCCATCCTTACTTGCCAGAATGGCCTTGAAACCTGTTCTCTAGAGCGACTGTGTCATTCTAGAGATCACCTTTCTTCTTGGAGTCAAAACTCAAACCACTCTTCTGCTGGCCCGAGGGTACTGTGTTCATCCTCCTCTCCCCCCTCAGGAAGCTTGTGCTGGCCGTTTTGCTGCAGCTCTGCACAGCAGTTCCTGCACCCACCCCAGGAAAAGGGAGCCCTTCTTGACAGCTGAGGAGTCTCCAGTCATCCTGAGCTGAATTCCTCCTCCCAGTCTCCCTCCTTCAGGGAAAGTGTCCTTATTCCTCCCAGACCTCATTATCTACATTGGGTTCTCCCAGTTTGTTTGGAGACCCTTTTCTGAAGGAGCCCCACACGCCCCACGCCCGACTCTTACGGTCATTGTCATGGACAATCTGGAAGTTCTTCACTGAAGCCTGAGTGACCCTCCCATGGAAGTTCAAAACGTAGGACTGGGTATCATCGTTCCAGACTGGAGCCTTGTTATGCAACTCAATGAGGTTCTCCAAGTTTTTGTTTTGCCATTTTGACAGCAGACTCTCATGTTCCTGCTCAGAAGACAGAAATACATTTATCAGATCTGGAATTGCTCTGCTTTTGAGCACTGCCTCTCCATGTGGGAGCACTGACACCTCATTCCCTGTTCAATGAACCACACTGACAGCACAAACATTCCTCTCCACTTAAAAAGCTATCACCATATTTCCACCCAAACAGGAAAAAGAGCAAGAGAGAAAGAAGTGTGTGAATAGGAAAACGACCAGGATGACTGAACAGGGAGCCTCTGCTGGAACTTAGGAAGCAGAGGAGAGTCTACACCCTTTGGAAGGAGGGGCAGGCTGCTCAGGAAGAGTACAGGGACTTAGGTCATGTAGAAAGAACATTAGGGAGGGCAAAAGCTCAGCTGGAACTCAGCCTGGCCACTGCTGCAAGAGATAATAAAAAGTGTTTCTACAAATATATTAACAACTAAAAAAGAATCTGGGAGAATCTCCATCCTTTACTGTATGTGAGGGGAACACTGCTACCAGGGATGAGGAACAGGCTGAGGTACTGAATGCCTTCCTTCCCTCAGTCTTTAACAGTCAGCCCAGTCACCCTCATGGTATTCAGTCCCCTGAGCTGGAAGAAAGGGATGGAGACCAGAATAATCCCCTCCTCATCCAGGAAATAGTAGTGAAGGGCCTGCTAAGCCAATGGGACACCCACAAGTCCATGGGGCCAGATGGGATCCCCCCAAGAGCGCTGAGGGAGCTGGTGGAGGAACTGGCCAAGCCTCTCTCCATCATTTACCAGCAGTCCTGGTTAACAGGGGAGGTCCCAGATGACTGCAGACTGGCCAGTGTGCCACCCATCTAGGAGAAGGGCAGGAAGGAGGATCTGGGGGACTCCAGGCCTGTCAGCCTGACCTCGGTACTGGGGAAGATCATCACTGGAGGCATCACACTACAGAGAAGGATGAAAGACCAAACTGGACAAACCCCTACACCAAAAGCTCTGTCAGCTTTTCAGAAGAGCTTTGTCTTTCAGCCTTGTCACTCTCAGCACACCTACTTGCTAGCAAAGGAGTTGGGAAAACAGGGGAGAAGAACATAGGGCCATGAGTCATTACTGTACTGACAGAGGAGATGGCAAGACCCACTGGAAGAGGATGAATAAGTGACCACCTCCAGATACAATTTTCCTGCTCATTCACAAAATTAAACCTCTTCCAAGTTTTCGTGACTCTGAATTTCCACTCTTGAAGCTTTTTTTCCCTCTGACCTCAACAAACACTCTTTTCCTGCTCAGCTCTACTCTCAATATGGTTGCAAATACCATTTCAGCTTAAAGCACTGAGTGTGCCTTTCAGCTGGCACCTGTCCTTCCTGCCTTTTGGTCTTAGATCACACCAAACAGAACATTCACATTAAGAGAACTGAACAGTTTTTATCATACATCTCCAGGTAGACTTGTGTAAGCTCTTGGCTATAATGCCCCCTATACATATGAGAAACCCTCACTGAATAGTCACCAAAAACCCACCATCCTCCTCTTTATCTCACTTTCTCCTTAAAAAATTCTCCTTTTGCTATCCCTACATAGAGACTGACATTCCAATAAAAAACTGTGTTTCCACTCTTGCTGCTACACCAGAATAGCCCCACATCTGCTTACTGTCTGTTGTACTCAGTACACTGGCTAAGGATGTGAGCCCCTGGAGAAGCACCTTCCTTGTGCTCATCCAGCTCCCAGCCCGTGAGGAGGGGCTGCCAGAGCAACACACAACAACACAGACTAGCCACTGCTAGAGTTCATTAAATAATGGTTAGGCTGGCCAAAGGGCTAGTAAGGATACAAACACTATCCAGAAGGCTACAAGGTAGGTAAAAGACAAGAGTGAATTAATCCACATCTTTAGTCTACATTGTGTTTATGCTCCCTGAGACTTGCTAAAGGCCTGGCTATTAACAGCCTTGCTCTAAAACCCGTTTGCCAGTAGCACCCAGGGCTCTGGGGGCAGGTTTTGGCCTCTTCCTGCAGCCTGCAGCACGACCCAGCCCATACTCACGTTCCGTGGACGGACTGGAATTCGCTTGTGGTTCATATTCATCCCTGGAATGATCACAGACATCCTCCTGGGACCCTTGAACCCTAACACGTTGGTTTCCTGAGAGACAAGGAAGGACATTATCCTCAGTAAGGTATCCATCTCCCAGGGGAGACAGCAAAGCTGACCTGGAGCACACAATCCTGCTGGTTCTCCAGCTGTGCCAGCTGCAGCAGAGTCCCCCAGGGCAGCTGTGGTGCAGCACTGACAGCTGCTGGCTTCACACCCTGAGCCTGCATTAGGGCCATAATGGCACTGCCTACTCCAGAGAGCTCCTGTTATCCTCCTCTGGGAGGTCCCACACCACTGGAGGCCTCCCAGAGTGATGCCCCTCCACAGGAAGGGCCGGAAGGAGATGTGGGGAGCTCCAGGCCTGTTGGCCTGACCTCAGAACCAGGAGGGATTATGGAAGGGTTCATCCCCAGTGCACTCACACAGCATGTGCAGCACAGCCAGGGCATCAGGCCCAGCCAGCATGGATTCATGAAAGGCAGGTCCTGCCTGACCAACCTGATCTCCTTCAATGACCAGCTGACCCACCAAGCAGACGAGGGAAAGGCTGCAGACATTGTCTACCTGGACATTGTCTTGTTTAATATCTTTATCAAGGATCTGGATGAGGGCATTGAGGGCACCCTCAGTATGTTTGCAGAGGACACCAAATTGAGCAGGAGTGTTGATCTCTCAAGGGCAGAAGGCTCTGCAGAGGGATCTGGGCAGGCTGGAGCCATGGGCCAAGGTCAACTGGATGAGGTTGACCAAGGGCAAGTGCTGGGTCCTGCCCTTGGGTCACAACATTACAGGCTGGGGGAGGAGTGGCTGGAAAGATGCCAGGCAGAAAAGGACCTGAGGGTGCTGGTGGACAGTTGGCTGAACATGAGCCAGCGTGTGCCCAGGTGGCTGAGAAGGTCCTTGGCCTGTATCAAAACCAGTGTGGCCAACAGGAGTAGGGAGGTGATCGTGCCCCTGGACTCGGCACCAGGGAGGCCACACCTCAATCCTGTGTTCAGTTTTGGGCCCCTCACTACAAGAAAGACACTGAGGGGCTGGAGCAGGTCCAGAGGAGGGCAGTGAAGCTGGTGAGGGGCCTAGGGAACCTGTCTTAGGGGAGCACCTGAGGGAACTGGGATTGTTTAGCCTGGAGAAGGGGAGGCTGTAGGGAGGCATTATTGCTCCCTACAACTACCAGAAAGGAGGTTGTAGTGAGGCTGGTGTTGGTCTCTTCTCCCAACTAACTAGTGATAGGATGAGAAGAAATGGGCTGAAGTTGTGCCAGGGAGGTTTAGATTGCATATTAGGAAGAATTTCTTTACTGAGAGAGTGGTGAGACATTGGAACGGGCTGCCTGGGGTGGTTGTGGCCCAAGTGCAGGACCCAGCACCTGGCCTTGCTGTAGCTCATACCACTGGCCTCAGCCCATCAATCCAGCCTGGCCAGATCCCCCTGAAGAGCCCCTCTACCCTCAACCAGATCAACACACTCACCCAACTTGGTGTCATCTGCAAACACACCGAGGGTGCCCTCAGTCCCCTCATCCAGATCCTTGATAAAGATATTAAACAACACTGGCCCCAAAACTGAGCCCTGGGGAACACCACCTGTGACCTGCCACCAGCTGGATTGATCCCATTCACCACAACTCTCTGGGCTTGTCCATCCAGCCAGTGTTTTACCCAGCAGAGCATATGCCCATCTAAGCCATGAGCAGACATTTTTTTTCATGAGAACACTGTGGAAAACAGTGTTGAAGGCTTTACTGAAGGGGCAAAAGGGGAGAAGCACTACTTACATAAGAAATAGCTGCAAGCTCTTGTCTTGTATGAGCCTTTTCTACTAGACCTTGTGCCTTGACTGGGCTGACTCCATGGTCATACACTGTAAATTTAGTTCCCATGAGGTTTGACCTAACGTCAGGCAATGGAAAGAGAGAGAAGAGAGGCATCAGTGGAAGGTTTTGTCATCTTCTGAAGGTATTTGTACAGCATGCTGAAAACAAGCACCTCCTGCCATCTGAATCCTCCTACTGCCAACTCAGTAAGGAGCCTCCATGAAGTGCCCATGGTGAACTGAGCCTGTAACCCAAAGCATGAAGTCAGAATTCTTTTTCTGAACTGTCACACTGAAGAAAGGGTGCCAACCCAGGCTAACACAGATCACATCAAGCAGCACAATGCAAATTCATTCTCTCCAAATTGATAGCAGATTTCTGCTCATATTGCCAACTCAGCTACAATGTAAACCCAATCTTTCCTGTCTGTAGTCTTCAGCTGTGGTTCTTACCTGAGTTTTCCAATGAAGCTTTCCCCTTCACGGGATAAATCAGTTGGGTCAACTGATATGAGGTAATTGGATGTTTTGCTCTTTTTTCGTTTTCTCCCTGCAAGAAGGAATGTCTGGAAATACAAAACTTTGATCAGGGCTGGAGCCTTGTAACAGTGCAGAAGCATTGCTAGGTGTTACTACCCAAACTGCTCTCTTTTTTTGATCTCTTCCACAAGTGCAGACCCTGAAATCCTGTTCCTCCACTCAACTCACTCGGCAGTCTGGATTTAATGCAACTGTCCTTTTCTAGTCCTCCTTCTCTGCTGGAGCAGCTCAGCCTCCCTGCTCTTCTTTATCCTTGACATTTTTACACTTTTTAAATTTCATCTTTCACTGTATGGCTTTTAAACCTGCCAATTCCCTCTCTAGTGCTTTGGCCAAACAGAAGATGTCCTCATCTGCACGCTGGCTCTTGGCAGCTTGTTTCTTACCAGAAGCTCTCCCTTACACCAAAAACATTCTGTGGCAGGAGTACAACAGCCAAGATGCTGTGAGCTGCTTCCAGTACCTTTCTGCTGTCATCCCTTTCCAGGTGCATGTAGTAGGTGGGGAAGAGGCCCCGCTCCATCCCCTTCTTGTCCCTAGTGACCCGACACCTGACGGTGACGCCGCGGGGCGCCGGCCGCAACGCAAAGTCCTCCAGGTTCTCCACTGCTCCCAGCTGGGCGTCTGCCTGAGGGACTGGGCTGCAGGAAGCACCTGGCTCCTGTGGGAAGAATCATCAGTGTTAGCAAACTTCTATCAGCTCAGGAGCTCTGGTACTCCACAAGAAAAGTTTCTCAAAACAGAAGATCTCGCATCTCAGGAAGATTATTTGGGAAAGAAGTTAAAACAGAGACTCCTGTGTTTCTGAAAGAAGTGGCTGGAGACTTTTACACTGAGGAAAGATCAGCTCTCCAGGGGAGGGGAGAAAAAGTACCCATTAACCAGAGCTGACTGAATTGCAAGGAAGGGGAAAATAGGATGAGACACTGTAAATATTCTAAACAAAGAGCCTTTCTGTTTTTAGAACTTCAAGCACTGTAGGAAGTGAAGCAGCATGACAAGCTGGAATGATGGATGCCACAGTTAGACGGACTGGGATTGTTGGGATTGAAATGAGCAGAGATTATGTTGGTTCAGAACAGCAGCAGAACCGAAGTAACCTGACAGTTTTGAGACAAAATGCTGAAGGAACCTTAGAATACTGTGTGCAGTCAGGATGCAAGTTATGCTCACCACAGGAATTGGAATTCTAATGGAAATCTGGTACAGGTCATTAAAGTAATTCTTTCTTAGAAGTCGCTGAACCCTGTGGATTGGAGAACCCAGATTTCTCCCTTACTGAGCCTTGCAGATGAGGCTGCTGGTTTGTCCTCACTCCCAAGTATCTCCAGCAGGAAGTCTGAGTGAATGCACACAGAGGCAGCACACACATTCTTGAGACTCACTAGTGAAGGCCACTGCTCCAACCCCCCAGCAGCCTGCACGTCCAGCAGCTGGAACCCACAGCCTTGTCTCCCCAGCAGCTAGGACCCAGGCCTCTTGTACCACTCACCCACTAGTGCAGCACAACACACACACAGTCACCTCACAAACATACTTACACAGGTCTTTTGAACAGCAGCATGGACTTTTAAGTCTGTTCAGCATCCATGCCCAAACTCCTATGTCCTTTATCTGGTCACCAGCTCAGACCTGGCTCCTCCTGGTGATGGCTCTTTCCCAGCTTGCTGGCAGCCCAGCACACAGTTTCTCAGCATATGCATGTATGCATCTCTCACACATACAAAATTTCACACGTGAAACTGTTAAAACCAGAGTTTTAGAAGGTAGTAGGACATGCTGCAGTCATCAGGCACAAGGCTTGGGCAGACAAGGATACTGTCTTCCAGCTCTTTACATGCACCTGCTGCCTTTTACCCTCTTTACTCCCTCTTTTCCTATGCTTAGACCCCCCAGACCTACCTTGACCCCTTTCTTCCCCTCTTGAGTCCTTTCCCCTAAATATCCCAGAAAAAGCATTGCCCAAATCTCTGTTCCATCCCAAACTTCTGCTCCCCCTTGCATCCCACAACAAATGCTATAAACCTTCAGTGAAGCCTCTTAAGTTTGCATGGCATTTCAGAGTTCCTCAAAGTCATCTTGGTGGATTTGACAGCAGAAACAAGGGCCTCATCTGCCTCCTCTGAGAGTCACAGGAGTAGCCAGTTCACTGTTCTCATCTTCACTGATGAGGCTACTCCAGTTCCTCTACCCACCACTGTTCCTTTGGTCATTACCAGGTCTGACTGTCCCTTCAGTCAGGTAACCTGACAGTCCTGGCCTGCCTGTGCCTTCAGGGGCCAATATGCTAGCTGCTGGACTTGCACGACTATATTTTAACCCAGTGCTCAAGGGGTTAGTACTAAAACGAAGCGTGTGCACAGCTCTTATCAGAAATGGATTTCAAGACACTTACTGCACAAGATCTCTCACTGGTGGCAGAACTAGGCCTCTCAGGTTCAGGATTCAGTGAACAAGATGCTGGTCTCTTACCAGTTTCTTCCTCTTCTGTGTCTTCCTCATCAAAATTCAAACTGCCTGAAATTCCTGTCAGAATACAAGATCAAGCAACCTCTGAAATAGGGATCACGAATTCATAACATCACTATTTCAGTATGACATCTGCATAGCTATTTGCTCTTGTAATGAATTTGTGCTGTTTCAACTGCTGATTTCTTTCATGCACTATATTGTTTTCCAAGCCTTGCAATTCAAAACTCTAGTGACATTTTGTAGCTGTCACTGTGCAGAGGATTAAGCAGCTTTCAGGCTTCTATTAATGCATATTTCACATGGTATTACATTATGTAACATATTTCTTTGTATATGCTGTCATTTAATTAATTTGGCCTATTTTCATGCAAAAATGGATAAGATGTGGATATGTTTTTAAGATATGGAACTCCATATCTTAAAAACAAGAAAAGGAAACCCAGGTCAATATGCTAACACCTATTCTGTGTAAGCTGGACTCTGTACAGTTTACATTCTTTACCATTTTACCTCAGTCTTACACACACTGAAATGGAGTATGGTAATTTTTCAGTAAGACCTCTTCCTCCTCTTACATCAGTAACAATAACTCATATCTCATGAATGCTATTAATGATTTAAATCAGATGGATAGATGGACTGGTTCAAGGACTTGCTTATTTAATCTTAGCCTAGGCACAGTTACAGAGGGATGACTGTGGGTACAGAGCTAAAAACTCTGCAGAGAGACGTTCACAAAGAGCTTCCGCACGTAGCGTTGTTTGGGGTTTCCTTCCACTTGGCACTGCCTGATTTTGTTCTGTGATTCCATTCCTTAGTTTGGCTGTAGAATGAAAAAGCACAAAGCACTAGAGAAAGTGAACACGCTCAGCCTGCTAAGCTGGACTGTTCTCTGAGAGACAGTGTCATAACCTCTGCTCTGCTCTGGTGAGACCCCCCTGGAGCACGGCATCCAGTTCTGGAGCCCCCAGGACAAGAGGGACGTGGAGCTGCTGGAGCGTGTCCAGAGAAGGGCCACGAGAATGATCCGAGGGCTGGAGCAGCTCTGCTGTGAGGACAGGCTGAGAGAGTTGGGGCTGTTCAGTCTGGAGAAGAGAAGGCTCCGAGGGGACCTTATTGTGGCCTTCCAGTATCTTAGGGGGGCTACAAGAAAGCTGGGGAGGGACTTTTTAGGGTATTGAGTAACGACAGGACTGGGGGGAATGGGGCAAAGCTGGCAGTGGGCAGATTCAGGCTGGATGTGAGGAAGAAGTTCTTCCCCATGAGAGTGGTGAGACCCTGGGATGGGTTGCCCAGGGAGGGGGTTGAGGCCCCATCCCTGGGGGTCTTTAAGGCCAGGCTGGAGGAGGCTCTGGGCAGCCTGATCTAGTGGGAGGTGTCCCTGCTCATGGCAGAGGGGTTGGAACTGGGGGATCCTTGTGGTCCCTTCCAGCCCTGACAGATTCTGATCTGTTTGAGCAGAGGACTTTAGAGCCCTAATGGCTCAATGGTTGGACTTGATGATCTTGGAGGTCCCTTCCAACCTAAAGGATTCTATGATTCTAACAGTGCTCCAGCATGGCCCTGCCTAGTGCTGGAAGGGGCACTGATGGAAGTTCTTTGTCTCAGATGTAAGAGAAAAAAGTAGTCTTAACTACCTGCCAGTAAACTTCCCAAAGCACATTTGGAAAGAAGTGGCATTAACCCTCCTAACTCTGGCCAAGTTCAAAATTCACTGTTTCTATTGTACCTCCACTAATTTCCCCTGAAGTTTCTCGATATTCTCCCTGCTTCCTTTCCTAACTTTTGGGTAATGTTGCCACCCACAGGTAAGCAGCTGTTCCATCTGACAAATGAATGGAAGTATTTCTATGTATGGTAGTGCCTTAACACATACTGTGTACTGGAAACAACGTGGGAGAGATGCTTTGTGAGACAAAGCCAGGTGGTGTCCCACAGTAAACACCAGCCCCTACTTTGCTGCAACAGAAAAGGTTTCCTGTGGTACCAGCAGCAACACAAGATACCTGGCAGACAGAGATAGACACTCCACTGGGAAAACACTCAATGGGATATAACTCTTGAGTATAAAACTCTAAAACTGATTATGACAGCCTCTGGCTTAGGAAGAGCACCTTTCCTGTTACTCCTCAGCAGTGAAATCACAGCATCTGCTGGCTGTGGCCATGGGCCCTGCAGCACAGTCGTGCTGTCTTCCAGAGGCACTATGAAGCCCAGTACAAGGTGGTTTTCAAACCAACACTGAAGAAAGGAAGGAATGTGCCTGAAACTCTCGTATTTCAAAACTCAGGAAAAGCCATTCTTCCAAGATGAAAAAAGAATAAAAATCCTTAAAAATGGTTGGTGCATCTCAAGTAATCTTCTCCACAATCACTTTAGACAAACACACACCCCCTCGGTTGCCTGAACAGCAGCCCCTCAAATAAGAGGCAGGACTTCTGAGACCTGAGGTTGATGTAGAGAAAATGGCTGCTCCATTCCCTGAGCAAACTCCAACTCGAGTGGTTCATTCCCATTAGCAATTTATTTTATAAATAAATTTGTGTTGTGAAAATATTCAAGCATCATATCCAGATAGAATATATCTGGAATAAAAACACTCTGTGCATAACTGGCATGTTCCTGTTAGTATCAGAAAAAGAAGCTGCACTTACAAGTAATATCCTACAAATACATGTTTCATGATTCCTCCTATTTTTTAGGTTTTTTAATGCTACTAAAATTTGTAAGAGACCCAAAAAAGACCTTTGTCCATTATCAACTCTTACCTCGTTTCTCTAAGATTTCTTGAAGATCTGGCTTGGCTGCTGTGTCTGTTAGAGCCTCTCCATCATTCTCCTGATCTGCATAGTCTTCTGTTTTGGAAGATCCAGCAGAGAGAGTTTGGAGCTTGGTCCCCAAATCTTGCACTTCTGATTTCAGGAAAGCAGCTGGTCCATCAATTCCTGCAATGAACCAGAAAGCTAATGTCTCTTTTTTACAGCTAAAGATGCATCCCAGGATGGTGGCTCCTTTCATCTGCCCTTGCCTCAAGCATCCCTTTGAAATACTGACTCACAGTTGTTCACCTTTTGTCAGAAGACTTCAGAGGAGCCAGGTCTGACACTGGTACAGAGCACCTCTTTCTTTAAACATAGCAGGCAGCAGTTCATTTATAAATGTAGTGCTTGGATCTACTTTTTTACAAGGGCTTAAGCAATTAAACTGAGTTAATTTTGTATTTGTGACAAACATTGCCTGTAAATAAACTGAAGGATCTCAACTACTCTCTTTTCCTTCGTGTCCCTTGTTTGCTCCTGTGCCAATAAGCGAGTCCTCTCCAGTGAATGTCACAAATCAATCTGATAGAAATATCTACAGCCACAGGCAGAAAAAACTGTAAGTGGATGCCCTCTAACTTTTTGGTAGAAATGAAATTTCCACATTTAAACATGCACCACAGCTGTGCACTGCACTCCACGACTGGTGGAGACATCTTGATGTTAGGGTCTAGCATAACACTGAATAATACACACATTATGTAGCACACAGCATGTAAAAGCAGTGCCAGCTCTGGGTTTCTTGCCTTCCCACTGTCTTCCTTCTAAAAACTTTACTGCATTTTCTAGTCATTGGATTTCTGACACGTTTACTGCTGTTACCACTTCTTACCAGGATTTGTTTGTACTGAGGAAGCTTCAGAATGATGCAGGGTACTGACGGAGCAGTTAGTTTTCATTTTTATTTCCTGTAGTTTCAGTATTACTGAAGCTTCCTACCTTAGTAATTTTATCAATCTTTTCTCTCACTCTCTTTTTGACTTCAAAGTGTCATTTAACAGAATCTTTCTCCCACCTGAATTTAAAGACATAAATGCTAACATCCACATCACCACTCTCCTCTCCAGCCTATGATCCTGAAAGACATCTGAAGAACAAGAATCACAGAGTGGCTTCGGTTGGAAGGGACCCTAGAGGTCATCTAACCCAACCTCCAGCCATGGACAAGGACACCTCTCAACCAGACCAGGTTGCTCAAGGCCTCACCCAACCTGGCCTCAAACACCTCCAGAGAGGGGCACCCACAACCCCTCTGGGCAATCCAGTCCAGAGTCTTGCCACCCTCGTACTGAAGACACTTCCTGACACTTCCACTGCAAGACAGGGGGTTTTGTTGATGCTCCTTTTTCCTCCCTGTGACATGGAAGTCTTAAGGCTCTCACTCACTACTGTGTTTCTTTCCACTCCTAACAGAATGGACATTATTTTATTGTTATTTTTTTAGATCACCGAGTTATTACCTTGGGCTCTGATATCACTTTGTGCTTGTGACTTTCTGGACCACTACTTTTGTCACTTTTCAGTTGTGTCACTGAAGCCCACAGAAAACAAGAGATTTGGTAAAACCCAGTAAGAATCTAATTCAGTATTCATATGACTTTTGTTTTGCTCTTGTCTACTTCATCATTCAGTCACATGCAGTTCTTGAGCTGGAGTATACCATGATACCATGAAGAAAAGTACAGGCAGTCACTACTGGATTATTTCCTTTTCTTTCTCCTACAGCTTCAGAAGATTCTCTTGCTTTGTATTTGTATCTCCTGCATTTATAGAAGCTCCTGACCCACTTCTACAGTTCTTCTTAGCCTAACACAAGGGAGACATTACTCAAGGGCATGTGAAGATTCTCAGCTGTTACAAAACTCAAGGTAAGATTTTTTTGTTTGCCTTTACAGTTCAGCATTGCTCAACCATACTGTACTACAACTCCACTCCTGTCCACGGGGAGGTATGTACTGAATCTTGTTTATCACTTGGCCACTGTCCAAGCAATATAGGTGCCCATCTGTGGCACTAAATGCACACAACTGGCATCCTGGCACACCTCACTGCCCCCAGCTCCATTGCTCACCGTGTAAAACCACCTCACTCTGGAAAGGGGCAGGAGTTTCTACCAAAGGAGTCTGCTCTTCACACCCTTTGGGCTTCGACCTGCGCAGCTTTGCCTCAGGATTTGGCTGGACCATTAAGGGATCAAGACGTTTCTTCCTCTGCTTCTTCTCTAGAAGAGCTCTCTGTGACATAAAGAAAAACAATGAAATAAGGATGGGTGAGCACATCCAGAGAGGGAGAAAGCATGCCCCAGCCATGGCAACGACACGTCCCTGACCAGCATCTCCAACAAACCCGAAATACTCTTGTCACCTCTTACAAAATTCCCAGACACACCAGTCGCTGTGTCTGTGCAGTGAGACATTGTGTTTGATTCTCCATCAGTGGCTGATGGGTGAAGTGCACACCCACTTATCTTCTGATCTGTCCTGAGACAATCAGCAGGTAATTTTCAACCCTTTTATCCAGTCTAAACTGCAGCAATCTTTAATATAAACGGACCAATTCAGCAGTCATCTATAATCCAATATGAAACAGTCAGGACTTGCAAAGGAAACATTTTTTTTGTCTCAAAAATTATCACCCTGTAGGAAGAACTCAAAACAAATAGTTCCCAAAAATCAGTGTTGACAGATAAGACTTAGGGGAGAGATAAATAAATAAAATTACAGTCATTAAAATAGGACTGATTCAGTAAAAAGAAAATTGATCTACCTTGCAAAAATTTTTAATGTAATTCAGGATTGAAAGTAAAGAATGGTAAGTCCAACTGTTGAAAATGAAAATATTACTTTTCCAAGATACATTGATTTTGGGATCAATATAGCATATAACAACTTTCAGAGCTATTTAACTGATTATTCTATTTGATGAGCATTTGTCACAAACTGGTGACAAGGGCACGTGCCCTTGCTACAGCAAATGCTTATTCCAGACTCTCTGTAAGACCACAGGTTCTAAACATGATCCTGATGGATTAAAACAATTTGCAGGGTTTTTTTTCCTCAATTCCTACAAATGTTTAGGACACACTAATTGAGTGTCCATCAGCTACCAACAGCAATGAGTCCACATGGCTGATAGCAATCTCCTATTGACCTCTGCTTCTTCAGAAGACATGGTACTATTCATGTAGAAGTTAAAACTAGACTTTAAAAGTTAATATTCAAACTTAAATCTACAAATCTAAACAAGAAACTTAGTATTTCTCAACAAATCTCACTTGTAAGGAGGGGGTATGGTCTTAAAACATTTTAGTGAAATATTCTAGCTGTTGGTTTTGCAGATGACTGCAAAACTGACTCACACATAGCCAAGCAAGCCTGCAACAAAATTGCATAAGGGTACAAATTCTTTAAACTCACCTCTTAGTGATTCAACTGACAGCTGCTCTGAGGGAATTCTACCCAGCCTGGCACCTTTGTTTTGGTGGATCAACAATGCATCCCCATGGCAAGGTTTGAAACCAGGCCCACACTGACCAGAGTGCCTAGCACCTTGTAACAACAGACAACAGTCCTGAAACAGACACTGAGGTTCATTGCCAAGCAGCCAGATCATCCTTAGTTTTGGGACTTCTTGCTGAGCAGCATTTGGCATGAAATGCTGTCTTACTGATTACTTGAAGTAATGCTTTCTATTTTTAAAATTTTATTTTTTTAAACAAGTGTAACTGAATAGCCTACAGGTAAAAGGATTATCCCAGCTTCCACCAGGGTGACCAAAGATAAATTTTATTCCTTGACTGTGAAGTGTTTTAGATACACACAGATAAAGTTGATAACAAATACACTGTCTGAAGCCAAAGCTAAACAAACTCAGACTGGAAATAATGAACAAGTTGTGCAGTATTAACCACTGCAACAGTTCCCTGAAGACAGCCATGTGTGGATTTAAAGATCCTCAGCTGAGAGAAAGCTTTTCTAAAAATCATACTTTAATTTGAACACAGATTAATTTAATGCAAGACAGTGATTTGTGGTCCATTTGAAATAGCCAGATATAGAATCACAATAATCTCACACCTTCCAATCTGTTTATAAGCAGTTAAGATTCCCAGAGGTAGATTAAGGGTGGATACTTTATTGCTTTGAAGACTATGGTGAGGTAAACAGCACTTTAAAAGCCAAGACCTACACCCTAATGAGACAAATCCTTGGCTGTAAATGTTTTCTTTGTAGGAAACAAAAAAAGTAAATGATGCTGGAAATCTTTCTTAGCAGCATTAAGGAGCTCTTTCCATAGCTTGGGGAAACCTGTTTTCCTTGGATGCTTCAAATGGCTAGTTCCCTGCAGTCTTCCTCCCTTTTGATTCAGCCCTGCATTGTGGTGACTCAATCCCAATTAAATGAGAGGACACATGAAGAACAAATCTGTCGAAGAAATCAAGCCTACAAGCCCTAGCAAGGTTGACTTAAATTAACAAAAGCCATGAAAATCCTTAAAGAAAAATGTTAGCAATGAGATCTTGTTTGTGTTCTTTAGATGAAGCGTTTTTAGCCCGTCATTCCCATTTCTCAAGTCTCTAGATGGCTAATGTTTGTTTTCTCCACTTATTTTTACCAGCTTCAGCACTACCATTTACCTGATTCTCTAGTTTCAGCTGTCGCAGTTTCATGCTTTCATCCTCAAAGATGCTGCAGGAGGGAAAGAAACAAATTAATTATTGCTAGTAAATAGGTTTCATTGTAAGAGCACAGGATATTCACAGACTACAGGACTTTAAAACAACTTCTATCCCCTCAGAAGACCAAGTTACAAGACATTAAAAAATAAAACATACTTCATATTCTGTGATAGGACCAAACTGTATTTTGATTACTTTAGTAAACTCTTCTGAAAACATTTTGTAAGCAAATAAGGCTTCATTACTCATGGACAGATTACAAGCCACTACTGAGGTGGCCTGTGAGACAATTTGTATCTGAAGGCTTAACACAGTTCAAACCAGCTACTTAAAGTCCCTGCTTCTCCATAAAATACCCAATGCCAAATTAACTCAGGATTATTTTTTTTCTTGGAGTCAAATCTGTGCCATTTTGCCCTCCTGACAGACTTCCCAGAACTATCATTAATACCTGAGAGAATCTTGTCTTTGCAACACTTGATATTAATTCCTAGAGATGAAAAAATAATTCCTTCACTAATTGTTTTTATAGATAACTTTTGTCAGAACTCTAGATTTTCACTTTGTGTTCCATACAGACTTCCCATTTCCTTTTGCATGACAATGAATTATTACATCACATGTGATTTAGAGCAGTTAACCCTACAGAGAGGAATGGTTAATTTACAATTAACTATATATATATTCTGCCTACCAGCTGATCACTGTCCTTCTACATAGCTTTGACAAAAGGTCTCTCTGGAAGTGAGAAAGCATCAGGAAGAAGATACTTAGTACAGCAAACAGACAATAATTACATGTTTTATTGATGGTGTGCAGAAAAGCAACAGCAGCCCAAATTTCAGTTTAAACAGGGAGTCCTCTGCCTGCTCTGGGTATGCAGAGATGCCCAGGGGTGTGAAGTCACAAGCTGGCTGAACACAGCCCTGCCGAGGGGAGATGGAGAAGGAGCAGGAGCAGGGGGGTGCCGCAAAGCTCGTGCCATGGGGTGGGACCGCAGAGCCAGCGAGACCCAGGGCCCAGTGTCCCCTCAGCCACTGCCACCCCACGGCTGCCAGGCGGGCTGGCGACAGCCCAGAGACCCTCGGGCAGGCTGGCGACAGCCCAGAGACCCTCGGGCAGGCTGGCGACAGCCCAGAGACCCTCAGACTGGCCGCCCTGGTCCACACCGGGCCCATTCTGGGCTCCTGAACCGTGCCAAACAAGGTTTGTGTGTGCACGTCATACAGAACAGTTCATCTGCTTCAAACCTGCTGCACACTGCCCAGCCAACGTGTCTCCCATCAGGTTACCTCTGCCATCGCTTTGTACTTTGTAGTTTTCTTTATTTCTAGAATCTTTGATCTGTTTACTCCTCACACAGACCAGTGACACTTGGCACCTTGGGTTAAAGGCAGTGGAGGGCATGGAAGAATTCATCTTTCTTGCAGAGGGACAGAGACCTCGTGTGTCCCCACAGCCACAGCTACAGGAATACAATCATCTCCTCTCAAGAACATCCATAATTTAAAAAAGAGACACACACAGACTCATTGCTGAGTGCAGCAAGGTATACATAAGATGCCATGTGAAACTTCAAAGTTAAAAGATGAGATGCATTTCATCTAAAGCACAGGTGATGGAGAAGGCCATACTTGGCAAAGAAATGTGGAGCCAGCTGGTACAAAAGGGTTTTCATGCTTAGCTTTCCAAAGAACTTCCCTGGGAATTGTCCTCATCTGAACTACAGCTATAAAGAAAAACAAAAGCTGTAGAAAGGAGACCATTTGAAGAAGGGTTCTTATCTTTTAAAAGATATTTTCCAAATAAAAATTGCAATACTGTCTCTGAAAATGAGTTGAGGAACAAAATTCATCTGTAATGCACCTTCCAAGTACACAGAAGGGAAGAGTCTTATCTGTTTTCCTGGCAACTGACACGACTGTAATTGTTCATTTTTGGGGAAATGGGTAACATAGCATTCATAAGAGTGAGGATTATAATTTTTCTCTGCCTTCCCCAGGGCAGTAGAGTGGTTTCTTCGGCAAACACAGAATATTCTTTTCTTCATAATTAAATTACCTACCACGACGTCCCCCAGGGCAAACTGGATCTCCTGTAAGTGAGCCACAGAGTGCCACACCTCGGTGACACAGCTCCAGCTGCACCAACATTTCCATTATAAGCTATTTTCAAGCCGTTGATATTTTAACAAGGGTAAGTTTTAGCCTCTGTCTAGCTTTTTTACAAAAATAATCCTTTCTCCAGTGAAATCCCTTTTACCTTTGATTCCTTCCCCTCCCCTGACCCACCCAAAACATGCAGATTTCTAATGCAAATAACATACTCTTTTGAGAAAGTTTTCACTAAATCTGTTTGGCAAGTTTTTCACCTACAGACCTACATTATAGGAACAATGACATGGCAGCAGTGAATAGTTAATTTTGGAAGCAATTCTGAATTCCTAAAAATATTATTTTGAATAAAGACTGTCTTTGATATGCTTTAACATACAAATTAAGTCCCACATGATATTCCACATAGAATACGACTTACAGAATCACAGGACCACAGAATCATTGAGGTTGGAAAAGACTCCCAAGATCGTGGAGCCCAGCTGTCAGCCCAGCACTGCCAGCTCCCCACTCAACCATGTCCCTCAGCACAGCATCTACACAGCTTTTACACACGTCCTGGGTGGTTCAACCACCTCCCTCAGCAGCCTGTCCCAGGGCCTTCTGTGAAGAATTCTCTCCTGTCCAACCTGAACCTCCCCAGGTGCAGCTTGAGGCTGTTTCCTCTTGTCCTGTCACTTGTTCCTTGGGAGCAGAGACCAGCACTCACAGCAGTAAGCTCTCCCCTCAGCCTCCTCCTCTTCAGACCAAACAGCCCCAGGTCCCTCAGCCCCTCCTCATGGGACTTGTGCTCCAGGCCCTTCCCCAGCTTGGCTGCCCTCCTCTGGACCTGCTCCAGCACCTCACTGTGTTTCTTGCAGCGGGGGCCCAAAACTGAACAGAGCACTCCAGCTGTGGCCTCACTGGTGCTGAGTCCAGGGGGACAATCACTCCCCTAGTCCTGCTGGCCACACTGTTCCTGACACAAGCCAGGATGCTCTTGGCCTTCTTGGCCACCTGGGCACCCTGCTGGCTCATGCTTAGCCAGCTGTCGAACAATCCTCCCAGGTCCCTTTCTGCCAGGCAGCTCTCCAGCCACTCTGCCCCAAGACTTATCTCAGAATACTTGAAAACAAGTATAAAATTATTAAGAATAAAGTCAACAGCCAGACAGAGTGGGGTGGGGGAGCAGAAACACAAGCATCCAGATTTGTATGTTCTACACCACTTTGAAACGCGCTGGCACCCACTAGGCACCACAACACAACTACTACCAATAACCACAGCAACTGCCTCAAAGATTTACAGCTTACTGAAGAATATCCTAGAGGAGCACAAAGGCAAGTTAGTCCTTTAAAACAGCTCTACCTACCTCTAAGGTTAAAAATGAAACATCACTGTGGAATTATCAGGTACTTTTTTCCACAGTCACATGGACTAGAAGCATGCCAAAATCATCCAAACCAAACACCCCACCCACCCCAAACTGCAAAGGCTGCCAGCCTGGAGGACCTGGACACACGTTTATGGATCAGTTCAGTCTTTCTTGTGGCAAAAGAGCTGCCCCAACAACCCAAAGCAATCTGAATACCATGCTGAAGAAAGGAATTCAAGAAAAAACAACCTCATTAAAGAAAAAACAATCTGACAGCCACGTGCTACAGAAAAATCTTTTCTTATAAAACACAAACAAGCTAGTGACTATTTCTGTCAGCTAAACCCAAGCTTATCCTTGCAGCACCATGTTCTCCTCACCTGCATAATGCACTAATGCCATGAAGAGCACGATGCCCAAAGAGTTCAGTGAGGTGTACCTGGAAGCAGGAGGCTCCTGAGGCTGGCACAGCTCAGCAAGAACAGCCTACGTTTGACCTGAAGGAGCTGCTTCGAAAAGGCATGGCTCTGGGGGTGACTGTTCACATGCCAAGTACAACGAGGCAAGTAATGATGCAGGCTAGTGCTGGCTGCAGATGAGTTAATGCAGGAAAGAGTATTTATCAGCAGAGGAGACAGAAACTTCTCTTTTCTTTACAGTGCTCACTGCAGTGACTTTGTAAGGTAAAATGAAACAGTGTAGGCAAGGTGAAAGGACCTCTCAAAGAATCACCCCTGGCTTCAGTTTCAAATGGTACCCTGGTCTTCTGCAGGGCTGACTTTGCACTCTTCAAAATCTGCTTGCAGGAATCCCAAGGGCTAAGCCTCTGGAGGGTAAAGGAGCCCAAGAAAGTTGGCCAATTTTAAACTGTCACTTCCTCCAAGCCCAAGATAGGTGCGTTCCCTTGAGTAAAAAATCGGGTCGATGGGCTAAGAGACCTGCAAGGACGAGCAGGGAGCTTGTGAAGGAGAGCTCATGGCAGAAAGAAGTGTATAGCTCATGTAAGAAGGGACTTGTCACTTGGGAGAAATATAGGGAAACTGTCAGGACACAAAGGAAGGCAATAAGAAAGGCTAAAGCCCTCTTACAACTAAAGCTAGCAAGGGAAGTAACAGGGAACAAAAAGGGCTTCTTCAAATGTACCTGCAGTAAAAGGAGCAACATGGGCAGTGTGGGCCCGCTGCTGAGTGAGGCACAGCCCCAGGAGCTGAGGGTGCAGAGGAGCCAGAGCTGCTGAATGCTGCCTTTGCTTCAGCCCTTAACCCTGAGGCCAGCCCTGTGAGCTCCAGCCCCCAGATGCAGGAGACTCCCAGGTGAGGGGAGGAGGGAACACTTCTCTGGTCGAGTGCAGTCTGGGGCTTCTCCAGCAGCTGCCCACTGCATGGTGAGGGTGACAATCGCCAGCAGGGGGGCTGGCTTTCATCTAGGTTTTGTATAGAGTTCATTTTATAGTTATTTTCATTAAAGCTGGCTTAGTTTTCCAAGCCATAAGTCTCTCTCCCTTATTCCCCTACTCTTCCACTTTGGGAAGGGAGAGGGGTTAAT